AAATAGGGAGAGCAGCAGGCAGAGGAAAAAAGGAAGAAGTTCCTTCTTTCAGCTTCAGTATAAACGAGGTGGCATCTATTAGCCTTACTCTCTTTTGCAGAGAAATCATCTATGCGTTCTGCTGGTGAAACCAAATCAAGTTTCTGCAGAAGTCAAAATGCTAAAGAGTTGTACGCTCCGATTTTAATGTAGATACAGTCAGAGATACTGGTGCAAAAATGTATTTTGGGCTGGTTTCTGCCATGATAATTTAGGGTAGAGCTTTGCTGTGCGGGAGCTTGAATTTTGAACTGACCGTTGGGAGGACCACCAAAGTCTGAACACGCAGCAGTAACGTAACTCTTCATTGTTCTGCAGCAGTATGGCAGACTTTAGAAAGTACTTCAAATGCCTGTGTGTGTCTTTTAAAAATATTTCAGCAACTCGTAGAAACAGTGTCTTGTGGAGGCAACCTCCTGATGAATGTCGGTCCCACTCACGACGGCCGCATCGCGGTTGTCTTTGAGGAGCGCCTGAGGCAGATGGGAGCCTGGCTGGAGGTCAACGGGGGAGCCATCTACGGCACGAAGCCGTGGCGAGCGCAGAACGACACGCGCACACCGGGGCTGTGGTAAGCGTGCAGCAGCACCAGCAGCAGCGCCTGTGAAACTCTGAAATCTCTGATGGCTTCACGCTGCAGACATCACCAGCTTAGGTTGTATGCTGTGCAGAAATGAACCCTTTTGTCAGCTTAAGTGGCTGCACATAAAAGCATGTATAAAACTGTAGGTAGACAATGAGTGTCAGAGACCATAATTTTGGGATGGTGCTGAGGTTGAAGGGAAGGTTGCAAGCATTTGCTGAGTGATCTTGTGCTTCTTAGTGTAGCTGGCAACAGAAACTATAAAAAAAAAAGTTATACATCTGGAAAGATGAAACTTCTAGGAAGTGTTTATTTGTAGAAAGGAATACTTGATGTCACTGTTCGGTGAGAAAGGAACTAGGAATCAGTGTAGCCTACTCTGCATTTCTTTGTGAGGTAAAAATGCATGGGAAGATAACAGCAGTCGTTTGGCCACTAAATTCAGGCAGTCTCTGGACTCTCCTCTGCCTTTGTGCCTCACAGCTGCTGTAATGCCGTAAGGATCCATCAGGGGTTTGGTCTTGACCCTATTCTCTGCCTCAGTGGGCCTTTTTGCTCCTTTTCCCAGTAAGATTTGGCCATCTGGCTTTAGCCTTTAAATGCCAAACTGTTGACTGTTTAGTGAAACCGCTTCCAAGAGCAACAGAAACTTGTAACTAAATGGAGGAAGGAGGGGGGAATGTTTCAGCTGTATGCCACAAGATTTCCAAGGGCATTCTGCAGATAATGTCTGCTGAAATCAGTTTTAAAAAAAAACTAGCTATGGAAGGTGGAAGCTTTATTGTTCCACATACTGTTGTTCAGTCTTTTTTAGTGGAGTGTCTGTATGCTTGTGTGGAGATGTGAATGGCCATATTTTTCTGAATATAACCCACAGTTACCTGTTAGTGATTCCCCCTGCCCTGCAAGTACCTTCTTTGTATATGGCTGAGCAACAGTGAGTTACTCTGTGCTTGATGAAGATACTACAGGTATTTATCTCTCAATTCAGTTCCTTAATAGGCTTTTTTGCCTCTAGTTTGTTGGAACATATTTTCAAGAAACAGTACTTAAAGGGCATAAATTGTCTGAAAAAATGGTTATGTGTAATTAATGATGACTTTTGATATCCATTTTTTCCAGTTTGAAAGCACTCTGTTTACTTGTTCTGTTTCTAACTAGGTACACTTTCAGCCCTCGAGAAGACAAAGTCAATGCTATCTTCCTTAACTGGCCAATCTCAGGGACTCTGGAACTTGGTGAGCCCCAGGCTAAGCTTGGAGAAACACAGGTAAGAGAGAACACACCCCACACACTCCTACTGCCCCCTTCTGCCTTAGAGCAGTGAGGCTTTTAGCACACAGTGCTAAAAGCCTCACTGCTCTAAGCCTCTAAATGAACACTGAAGGAAAACACCTCTGTGATTAGTCATGTTCCGTGGTGTTCATTTTAGTTTCTGGCATCTTTGGGAGTGTGCAGCTTTTAGGACACAGAATGTTGGAAGAGACCCAGCAAAATGTTTTTGTCCTGGGACCTCCTTGTCATAGTCCTCCCAGTGGGGTGTTCCTTCTCCAACAAAGTTAGACTGAATTGTTGTTGGGATATGTTTTGGCTTGCCAACTAAGAATCATAAAAAGAGGCCAAGATGCAGAGGGAAAAACAAGCCAGTGCCACCCTTCCTATTTCCTGTGTAAACTCTAACTCAGCATGACCTTTCTTTATGAGTAGCCATCCTCATGACTTTGGTGTCAAAGGCCAGTGACTTTGTGCTGGTGCAGTGACTCCATGTCAAAGGGGAGGCGTGCAGAGGTTTTTGCTGAGCAGGGAGGCTGAGCAGTGAGCCAGCGTCACCCTGGATGTGTCCTGCAGCAAGCTGTGGTCAGAAGTTGAGGACATTGGTGCCACACCTACGGTAGCAAGCAGTGCAACCCAGTGGAAGGAGGTTTGTGGAGCAGCTGGTGCTCAGGGCTTGGTATCAACACTGTTTAAGGTGGTGATTCATTTTGGCTTCGCTCAGTCCTTGTCTTATGCACTGGATGTCCACTAGCTGTGGAAATCCATTCCAGGTGTTTCTGGACTGTCTATTCTGGTCTAGTTTCATATGAAGATAATCTGCTTGGTGTTGAGACAGCTCTATGGTAAGAAAGAGTAGTTTCAGAAGTAATGTAGGTGCATCTTGAACTTTGGAGAGGCATCTAAACTATGCGCGGAAGAGAGTAGCGTTCCTCAGTGGTAGAGCCTGGTCTTCAGCTGCTCCATTATGTTCAGTGTTTCAGACAATAAGAGCCTCACCATAAAGCCCATTTGTGTGACTTTTAGTGGAGGGGTTCTTCAGGCTGGCTTTGTTTGAAATACCTAGCTGCACTCTGCAGGGAACAGTGATGCTCATTCAAGACCACAAGTTTCACTACAGGACAACAGGTGATACAAAGCCGCACACTGTGGCACCTAGATCTCCGCTTAGACCCAAATCCCATCCCAAATACTTCTCAAAAGTGTTCAGGTGCTTTTTACAGCCCTAAGTACTTCTCAGAACCCAACATCATGAGCTTGCTTACTTCCATATCTATCATAGTTTTCTATTACCTTTAATAATCATCATTCATTTGGTTGGTAAGTGACCTTTAAGGGTAATTGGATAGTAAGGTAGCTACAGATAACATTTGTTTTGCAAATACTGCAATTATATGCACTTTGAAAAGGCACTGTTCTCATTATAGTGTATGTTTCTATCTCAGGTGAAGCTGGTTGGCTACAAGGAACTGCTGAAGTGGGTTGCACTGGGAGAAAAGGGAATGCTGATAGTTCTACCTCAGTTAACTCCTAAGCAGCTGCCATGTCAGTGGGGCTGGACTTTACAACTGACTGCAGTAAACTGAGCTGCACACTGCTGGCTCCCTGCAATGCTGAGCTTCTGCCCAGTTTCTCACCACTGGTTTCTAGCTTTCGCCAGAGTGAGGAGCACCAGTAATTTCACTTCTTTTTGTGAAAGATGAGCCTCTATTAAAAGCTGGAATGGAATGAACCTCACATGAAATCTAGCACTAGGTAGCTGAATCTCTGTCTACAGTTTGTTTCTTTGAACTTGGGTGAAAAACTGAGCACCTGTCTTGACCTTGACGCTTTCTTCAGTCAGTTTCTCGCCAAGTTACGTGAAGAGGATGGAGGGGAGGAAAGGGGCACTAGATTTTTAAAGCCCTGAGAAAGAACAAAGCTACTCAAGCCATCATTCAAATGTACAGAAGTCAGCCATACACCTTCTTTAATGCAAGAAATCTAACTTCCACAAAACTGGACAGTGAAACCCGTCAGCTTTAGAGAAAATACATTTTTTTCTCTGGTTGCATACAACAATTGGCAACTGGTGAATTCAGCCAAGTAGAGTGAAACACCTGCAAGAAGAGTAGGGGTTGGGAATTCATGACAAACACATGGAGGCAAAGCATATCTACCTTGTCATTTCTTATCACGAAAGTAATTAATTTTACATGTTCCTACTAGAGTGATTCTGTTCAGTAGTGGGATACAAGTCAAGCAGGACGGTTTGTTTTTTTTCCTGATTTGTATAATTTTACATGGTTAAAGCCAACCTGTGTTTACTGCTGTTGTTTTTACACAGTTACCAGGGTGCCTTCTGTGGACTATTAAACAAAACATATACTTCAAGGATTAACGTTTTAAAAAAAGATAAATAATCAGGAGTTGTTAGGGATTCTCAGCTTTAGCAGAGATATGTGTAGCATTTTAAGCAGAGGGTTGACTGCATATAACTTGAAAAATTCCCAGACGCATGAATCATATGTCAAGAGTTGCAGGGACAGACCTGCAGTGTGAAGTTCACAAAGAGGGGGAAGTACAGGACAACAAAAAGCATGAAATATTTCAGTGTAGAGATCAAAGGTTTATTTCTCCTGAGTTTTGTGTTTGGTTTTTTTTGGTTTGCTTGTTTTTTCTTCTGAGTGTAAAACTATTACTGTATAAATTTATTTTTTCAACTGTCAAGATTTTAAGTGATAAGTCAAATGAGGTTATTGCTTTTCCTGCTAGTAATGTTAATAACACACACAAATTTTACATTAAAATATTTTATTACAATACAGACAATTGGGCTCAATTAATACAAATTAAGATAAAATATTTACAAGTTAATGTGTACAGTGTAAGCTGTTTGAACAGCATAAACAAGAGAAATTCTAAAAATCCACATTCCTTTAGTATTAAGTAACAGAGAGAGTGCCCCTCCCCAGCTTGTTCAAGAGGAACACCCACCAGTTGGCAAAGGCTTTCTGAAGAAAGAGAGACTCTTTGGAATAACATTTGTAAAGTTCAGGAAGAAGTTTTCCTTTATAAAGACAAAAAAAATTGGGAAAAGAAAGAAGCCTGACTTTGTTTTGCTACTCTGTGCTATTCTTAAATCACTATTGTTATTTTTTTTTCCAAAACTTATATACTCCAGGCAAAGAATTTTTTTTTTCTTGTAACTCTTAATATACTGCCACCAGATGCCTTTCAGATGCAACAAAAATAATCTAATTATGAAAGAGTTTAACCACTTTTTTAATAGAAAAGTCTTCACATACCATGATTCTTTCAATAAGAATATTTTTAATGGGTGCTTAAAACAATTCTATTAGAAGAAATATGGGCTCACTCCCACTTCTTTCAGAATGTTCTTCCTTGCTGGTTTACCACTCCTACACCATTATAGTTAACCCAAGTCTCATCAGTAGTCACAAGGAATTTATTATAAATACACAACCTATTCCTATAAATGTGCAGTTCATTTCTCTAGTTGCTGAGGGGTGCTAAAAGCTTCATAGACATTAGCAGCAAAATCTTTCACTTGTTCCATCATCAACAGGTCCTGGAAGAAATTGAAAGAGTAACTTTGCTTAATCAAACACATCCATGGCTATTCTGAGTTTGCTGCAGTACATAATTCATCATGAGAAAAGTTCCTGGCACTCCCACAGAGCTGTAACTCAAATTTCATCCTGTAGAAAGGACTGTGAGCAGAACTGCAAGTGCAGCCAGGCCAAAAGACCCCTTTGTGCTTCTGCACAGTTTAGCAGAGGGAAGAGGCTCTAGAAAAACTGTCTTTTTGGAAGATAGAGAGTTGCAAAAATTAAGTTATGCCAACTCTTCCTACTACTTTTCTTTTAAGCCACTGCAATTGAAGAGAATGAAGCACCTTATTAAAAAGCAATACAGAATATTCATTTCAAAATTTTACTTGGGACATTTTAAGTAAGCAACATCCTTACCTGAACAAAGTGACTGGGTGTTTCACTGCATACTGAATGGATCTGTCCATTTATTATTGGAATTATCTTGGCTAAAGGAAGACTGACACTGGAAAGACTAGAAAAGAAAAAACAACAAACCGCATTGACCTAGACCTGCATTAGTGAAGCCAATAAGCTGTGACTATTAGAATTCAAAATAATTAATAACTCAAAAGAGTTGAAAGACTCTACAAACTGAAATTATGGGGAAAAAAACCTTCATCTGTACAAGACTTTCATTTAATATAGAGAAGTACCAAAGCAAATTCCAGTTGGTGTTCCTCTTGTGCACAGTTCCACACTTACTTCTCATGCAAGAGAAACATGCTTTAGCCAGAGTCTTCACATGTGCATGTACATAAACAGTTGTTAGAAGTGACAATTTATGACCTCACACTATTTCAAACTCTAATCCAGGCTTAGGACAGACAGCCAAACTACAACCTTTAGGGTATTTTAAGTGATACAAGTAGTATATATTTAAATAAAAACACTGCTCTTTGAGGGCCATCAGTTATAAAATAAACATAAACACAGTTATTATTCAATGTTTTCATATTACAAGTTTATAAATAACACTTCAAGGATTTGAACTCATCTTTATTTGCAGCACTCACACTGCACTGTTTAAAACCAAAGTTAACTTCAGAATAAAAGCTCTTTTTAAACAGTCTGCTAGGAAGAAGCAGAAGGTCCAGGTTAGTATCTTTACTCAGAACCTAAAGCTGTGCAGCTGCTTTGGGTATGCGCTCTTGGAGAGCCACGGTGACGCCTGCCCGCCTCGAGACCTGCAGCGACTGACGGGCAGAGACCGGGGCGTGCAGAGCTCACCTGCTGCCTGCAGGGCAATGCCTCTGCCCCACGGCCCCACAGGGGAAGGGCTGCAGTCCCCCTTCAGCAGTCCCCACCACGGGGGTAAACCCTCCTTAGCTAGAAGTGCACTCTGCTTCTACAGCCCTTGGGCAAAACATGGAGGTTAAAGGTCTCCCGATTTCTACTTTTAGATCTACTAAGTAATAGTGGGAAAGATACCTTGTGCAAATTCTAGCAAAGGCATGGATAGGGAGAAGGGTGCAATACTCCTAGCTGCCTTTCTGGCCCAAGTGAGGAGACTGCATTTAGTCCTGAAGAGCAAGACACAGAACCATTTCCAGCATAAGAACTTGAAGTAAGCAGGAAAATCACTAGCCTTTTTCAGAACTCCCTGTGAACCCAAAGCATTATTCACATGAGAACCCAAAGAAAAGAAAACATTTACCTATTTACAGACCCTTTCTGAGAGAGGTCCTTTTCGGTAGGTCTAAAAAACTCCGCCATATTGTCCAGCAGTCGACTGAATCCTCTGTTTAAACATGTGCTCAAAACTGTACTGAAGTCTGGACTGAAGGAAAAAAGATAAAAGTTTGATTCCTGGAACTTATTTTTTGAAAGTAAAATATGCTGCAATTATTCACTGCTCCAGATGTCCCTCCTGTAAGGGAAGATGTGTGACCCAAACAAAAGGCCATTAGGAAGCCCCCTCAGGAAAAGCCAGCTCCCCAGTAACTCCCCAGCAAACCAAACCACAACCTGAATTCTTACCTAAGATTACTAAAGTCCAGACAAATCTGAAGCATTCCTCACCCCTCTTTCTTACAATATAAGAGCATAGAAAGGACTTATCCTTAAAATGCCCAGATCTCTAGCAGCTAAACTGTAAGAACAGTTTGGCATTTGGCTCAATTCCCTCATACTCCATGTTTATGATAGAAGCCTCACTTCAGTAGCTCTCTGGTGAAAGAGCCACTCTCAAATCCGTGCATTACAAATAAATGCTGATAAGCCAAAACTGGCATTCATTTTATCAAAGCAAGTAAATCCAATACAATTCCTCTCCATTTACCCTGCTTCAGCAGAAGAGAAGTACTCCTCTGTTCCTGCATAACTACAGAAAAGGTGAGGAAGAGGTAAGGGAGTCTGGGAAGGACATCCTGGTCATCTCATCAGGATTATTTCTTATGAGTTTCAGAGCTCTCAAATTTTGAAAATCTCAGCCTCCAATTAGTGAATATAAAAATGTCATGCAGCAGAGTGGTCACATCACAAATGAAAGTAGACAGTTTTTTTATGTAAAACCTATTGTTTTACATAAACAATAGTTGTGAGGAGGAGTTTGACATGAACACAGGATATGTTTCTCTGTACCTTTCTAGCATGTCTCTAGTTTCATTAAGTAATTTAATTGTAGCAATGTCTCTTTCTGTGAGTCCGCAAGCCTAGAAAAAACAAAGACAGACACTATTTAGTAAGAAATCCATTTGCAACTATGAGTAGAATAGAAGAGTTTTATATCATGGAATTAAGTCGAGATTTACAAGTCAAATCTATTTAAAATAAAAGATTTATTGTAATAAATAATATCCTTTATTATTCATGTTCTAATTTTCCTTTTAAATGACCCCTGTAGGATTTTTTTTTTTTTATACCAAAACCCGGCAGGAAATTCCAGACTAATTGAGCAAAGTATTTTTTCCACTTCTGACCTCCGAAGCTGAAATAAACCCTGCATATGATCTTAAGTTAAAGGGATGAGTGCACGAAGACAACACACTGAAGTGTAAGTTTCTTCTTTACTAGTGTAATACCAAATTAAGGATGAATTTTCTCCAGCGTGTGGTGTGGATGGAGACAAACTCCACGAGAAAATTTAGGAAACTAACCTTACAACTGAGATCAAACAAACCTTACTCTTGACTCCTGCTCGTTTTCCAGCCCACAGGAAGGAAGGACTCCAGCACACCATCACCCCCTTGTGCTTCAGCCGAGACGCTGCAACTGCCCCTGGGCTGTGCCGGTACCCGGGCACAAGGTCATACAGCGCAGCCTGGGGCCAAGTTCAGCTGCCTTGTGTTACAGCATCTACCACAGGCTACAAGCAGGAACTAGGCTGTGTTTCTGAGCTCGAAGTTGACATTCATAGAATGGTTTGGGTTTGAAGGGAGCTTAAAGATCATCTAGTTCCAACCCCCCTGCCACGGGCACCTTCCACTAGATCAGATCACTCAAAGGCCACATACAGCCTGGTCTTGAACTCATCCAGTGATGGAGCATCCACAACTTCCCTGGGCAACCTGTTCCAGTGTCCCACCACCTTCATAGTAAAGAGCTTCTTCCTACATCTGATCTAAAACCACCCCCTTCCAGTTTGAACCCATTACCTCTTGCCCTATCACTACATTCTGAGGCTGGCACTTGTTTTGAATCAAATCTGAAGAAAGCACAACTTTACTTGGCCTAGATGGAAGAGCTAAGATCACTCGATTCATGATGGAAGAGAAGTCACTGTTTACTAAAGATACAGATGCCACGGTACAACTAGAGGACTGTTATGCACCTTTGCCTCCACAAAATGAATAAAAAAATGCAGAATGAAAAAAAAGGTAGATGAAAAGAACTGAAACAAGTACCTGGGTAGCCAAGGGGTTTTCTTCATCTGGCATCAGATAATGACATAAGGGAGAGTAAGGTGCAATCTGATCTGAATCTTTATGTTCCACAACTTCCCTGATATCTTTAATTTTCTGTTCCAGGTCCAGAAGAGACAGGGTGTGCTTAAGGGAAATACTGGGAAGGAAAAAAAGACTACAGTGTTGACTGCAAAATGAGTGATGAGAATTTGCCCCCCTACCAATAACATGTTCACAAGTAATGGGATTCGAATCTGCTATATGGGATTGCATTGGCAGACATAGCCTGCTATAAAAAAAAAATAAGTAAAATTGTGTGGGTTTTTTTGTTTATTTTTTTAGAAAACGTCAGTATGCCTTGCTTTCTTTACATTCTAATATAACTCATTGTTTTGGGAACAGTCATCACAATAAAGATTAAAAGCTAACCACAGAGAAATAGAGACTCACCTTCCAAAAACTTTATGCACGGCTTGTTTAACAATAGTTATTAACTCAGTCAGTCCTAGAACAAGAAAAGGATCAAAATTATCCTAATGATTTGCTCAAGTCTAGGAAAAAAGTAGTGTCCTGTAAATGTAGTTAGCTTATAAGAAGCATCATACCATCTCCTAAAAGGTGCTGAATACTTGATAAATATTGCTGCTGAACTTCAGGAGGAGCTAGTGGTGTCTGTGGGGAAAGGAAAAAAAAAAACAAAACAAACAACAAAACCAAACAATGTAAAAATAATTTTAAACCTGTTGTAACCAATTTTATTAATCATTATAATCCCCTGCATCAGATGGATTCCCCTACTCTCACACAACTCTGTAGCTTCTGACTGCCTTCCTCCAATCAACTCATACATCTTTCCTAAGTCCTCTGGCATTCTTCTCTTCCACACTATGCAGGTCTCTCTTCCATCCTCTGTGTCACAGAAAAATCTTTCATTTTTCATTCATATATCAGAAAATCTCTTAAAAACACCACACTCTAGGTGAAACTACACCCTCTACCACTGCAAAAAGTAAACCTAGTGGAATAGGGTATTTAGGTGCGACCCTAACAACAGCCCATCTGACAGAAAAGCTTTCAGGAACTTAGACAGGATCCCAATTTGCTGCAGCAGAGCGCCTCAGAGCTAGCTCTGCCAACCCACCTCTATACTGGAAAACTAACAGAAAGGGAACACATTTCTAGGCCAAACTCCATCTTGCCCTTCTAAAAAAAAACTTTTTCATGTTTCACAAAATGAAGCACAACCTCCATCAACCCTGGCCTCCCTAATGAAAGCTTGTCTCAGACCCACCTCAGCATGCTGTTCCTTGACTCTCAGCAGGAGCTATCACAGGGGAGCGTATGACAAACAACCAAAGTTTGTATCCATTATTTTTAGATGAGCCGCCCAACAATTTGCAGATCTTACTCTGTACAGATTACAGAGGTATGAATAGATCAATCCCACAATGAACAGGTTACTTGTTCATTGTGGGATTGATCTATTTTTATTGAGTAGTGACAGATAGACTATATAAGCAGACCCCAAGTCTTCTACCTTGCTTGACCCCACCAACACCCAGTGAAGGTAAATGGCCTTTTGGAGTTAAAGCAGTCCAAATTTCAAAGACAACATTTTTCTCCTTTAATCATAGAAAAATTTAACTGGGGGAATTAACGCATGTGCTAGGAAGACCTGAGCATTTATATAAATTGGCATACCTATCTTGGATCATTGTTACTGCTTCACAAAAAGTTAAAGAAATTATTTTATGTTGATGTTTAGATATGAAGTAACCTCCTTTAAGCCATACAAATGCAGACAAAAGTTACTCTTCAATACTGCTAGTATTTTGTTAGGGAACAGTATCACCAAATCATCCAACTTTAGAGGCTATTAAAACACATCAATCTATCTTACTTCCAGCAATGCTTCCACATCTCCCACTCTTTGAAGAGATCTTTGTTTCATTCTAATATTACCAACACCCTTTCTATCTCCCACTACATCATCCTTTCACTTCCAAGAAAGTGGAAATTCTACGTCCAAAACAAAACAAGGAACTTACTGTGCCGTTTTTGCTGAGTGCAGCATTATCTAGGTAGATGTAACCGCCAATAATATTTAACTGGACTCGCAAAAGAACTACCAGCATACAGGTACTATATACAGCTACAATGCTTCTTGTGAAACCTTGAAAAGAGACAACAAAATAACTTCCAAGTCAAGGAAATAAGGGTGAGCCAAGGAGGGAGAGTGCTCTCCAAGACTCAAGAAGCACTGATGATTTTTAAATACACAGTCACGTTTCTCTCATTGCTTGTCATGACACACGTTTTCACAACACAAACCCAGGATGGTCATAAGTCTAATATGTGCTGGAGCTCATCTAAGTGTCCCCTTTGAAGTCCTATATTAATATAATTTTGCATGTTAACACTAGTTATTTTGGGAAAAAAAGTAATTATACAAGTTGCTCCAGAGGGAAAATGCCTGTACTGTCAAATCTACTTTCTTTGTGAGGCCAGGAAATACAGACAGTACGTCAGCCCTCATCATGCAATTAAGACACAGAAGGCATAACAGCAGCTTTGGGGGGGGAAAAAAAAAAAAAAGTCATCTAAGGCAGGAGCAGATAGTACCTAAAGAAAGAAAATTAAAATGAGCATCAGCTACCAGCCACTAGGCAACAGGGGACGTGTGGAGGAAGCGACATGAATAAATGTGGATGAGTGCTGAGCAGCAAGAACACGGGCAGGAATGAGCCAGATCAAAAGCAGGATTTGTAAAAGTGTGAAAAGGAGAAACAAAACCAAAAGGAGGGAAGACAAAACCAGGGAGGAGGTGGAGTAACAAGTGGTAGGAAGGAATCAAAAGTAGTAAAAAAAGCTCAGTAGTATTTCACTGCACAATTGTCTGCCTTCACTGTTCTTTCCTCCCTTCCACTGCTTCTATCAGCCAATAACTAAGATGAACCAGAGGGCTCATGACCACGGCTATGGCAGCTGGTTCTCTCCAGGAGGCTTGAAAAGAAGAACTTCCTGGCCACGTAAGGTCTGGCCTACATTTCCAGCTCATGTTTTCTGCTAGATTCAGCATAGAACTTCCTAAAAAATTAGACTGATTTTTCTGCAGTGGCACAGAAGATTGTCACGCAGTTTTCTTGATCAGGGTAACATGAAGGCAAATAAAATTCTCCACCTTCGTCTCTGAGTTTCTAACTTGCCCTGAGGATATGAAAAGTTCCTTCATGAGGAGCTTTAGGGAGGGGGGGCAGGGAGGAGGTTTGCCATGTAGTGTGTTACATTGTCTTCATATCTACTGAAACAACCACCCCGTGTAAAGTGCACATTTTAAAGGGTGTGAACAACATTTTCAATTTATGCTAAATATTATGCAGCTGGAATCTTTAATTTTCACTTACTTATTATCTTTAAATCCTCCCATATCTCTAACTTGTTTGTTGGCCTGTGGGGGAAAAATAAATTGAAATATTAAACATTTAAAAGTATGTTTTCCTTGGAAATTAATAAATATGTTAAATGAAATAGCAGTGCGATCAATAAGGCAAGCTCATCTAGCTACTATAATTATTCAGTTCAGATTCATGTCTACATTGGTTTGCCTCATTCACAAAAGCAGTATCTAAACAATACACTATGATGTCACAGAAAAGCTACTCAAACTTTAATGTATAAATCTAGTAGTTATTGGTGTCAGTTACACACTTGCATTATCAATTTTGAGTTACTATGCTAAACAGTCAGAGAAAGCCCACTGTTGGTACAAAGTCTTTTCTGTCTCTACATACTTGATGTTCAGTAGGGCTTCCTGCATCCACTTGTGCATAAGCAGTGCAGGATCACAGGTTCTATGTCCTACTCTATTGCAAGATTTACCATTGCCTGGTGTGGTTTTAAAGGTCAGGTCTGATCATCAGAAAACAAAGAGCTTGTGAGCATCTGTGGAAATGAAGTCTTGTGTCATCCACACAAATGCAAGTTATCTTTTTAATTTTGTTACGGTGTGTTTACTTCTTTGGCTTGATCAGTTCTTAAAATTTTATGTATTCTGAGTAGAAAGAGCAAGACTGTAGGTTGCACAGATATACCTGAATTGCCTAAGGTACACTGTGTATTTATAACTACTATCTGGAGGTAATGCTAGCAATACAGCAGCAGTAGCAGAGTAAGAGGAAGCCAAGCATCCAGAAATTTTCATCAGCCATTCACACCTGTGCAGCACTGTCAGTAAAGACTGGCTACTGTACATCTATCATGGAGGAAATATATTGTGAAAGTCACTTAGAGAAACATTTGGCAATTTCTTAGGATCAGAATTAACACTTAAGTATTTAGGGCAGGTAGTTCAGATTAACCTAGACTTTATAGTAACCTAGCTTATAAAGAATAATAGACTTTTCACCAGAAAACATTTCTCTTTACAGGCACACGTGCTCTTTGACATTAGTGTAACCATTATATCACTTACTCAAACAATTAATTTTTAAACTCATTGCTATCAAATAATGTGAAGGAACGAATACAACAGACAAGTTGACAGCTCCAAAAACGTAGTAATATTAAAGAAAGCAGTGCTGGAAGATAACAAAGATACATGGCACATACAAAAACAGTTTACACACTTCTCTTTTTGCAAGCTAAATTAACAGCTTTAAAAGCTCTCCTAAAGCAAAACAAAGGAAAGACTGTTAAAAAAACACAGTATTATTTCTATAGAGAAAACATACAAGCAACAAATGTGGTTTTCAGTCCTGTTACAACTACTAAGTCTTCTATGCCAACTGAAGAGAGAAAGAGAAGCTAATAGATCAATGTCAGCCAACTACATTTGCACTTATTATATCAAAACATTTTCTAGAGCTCATGCTTACAGAGTTTCTCCTCGCAAAAGAAGGCAACAGCCAGTTTAATAGTTCAACCCTGGCCTAACAGGGGAAATGGATTTTCAGTCTTCATCTGCAGCAATTTACTATGACTCAGCTGTTACTCAAAACTGAACTTTTATTTCACATTTATTTATTTGGAAAACCATTGCCTGCTATGGAAGCAAAAAGCAATGCAAAGAAAAAATAGAGCTTTGGAATAAAGCTAAGTGCTGAAGTGCTAAGTGGGAGACAGACAATATCTGCAAGTCTAAAGCCTTCATCTCATTGAATCACATTGCTTTGTAAAGAGAACAGAGGAAGAAGATCTGTGGCCTTGTGTGCTGCTCCCTCTTTAAAAGGTTCTCTAGAAGACTGAGGGCTTCAGTCTGCTCCCACCCCCAGCCTACCACTGGCCATCCAAAATTATTAAAACAACATAAAATGGTTTTGCATTTAAGGAAATGAATGATTTTTCAGTTAAAGGAGTTTACCTAAGCCATAACACAATCTATAACATACGATAACACTAATCCATAACATATTAAGCCATAATATAGATCGTGTGAGAAGAAGAATGCATCACTTCAAGGTCATTAAGAAAGGTGAATCTCCACATATACTTTTTTGTATATTCAACAACAATGGCACTCAAAAACCTGGAGCCATTTGATTAATCTTCTCAAACGGAAGTGGACAGAAAACAAATCCACACCTCCACATGTAGCACTAGAATGCAGAACTTCTTTGGAGACTCACTTCACAGTGATCACATGACCTATACCTTCCCAACCCCTTCTCTACATTGTCAGTTCAAAAAGTTCAAGTCTCTTGTTAAAACTTCTTTTACTCCATGCCAAATGCCAAGCAACTTGCACTACTTTTAAGGTATGCTATTATGCACCTTATATGTCTAATAATATGCTATTTGTTTCTGCAGTTATAAGGAAACTAAAGGTGTTTTCTGATAGGGAAGCATTCCTCTTAATGTATGACATACTCCTATTTGTTCTACTTCAAAAAAGAAAAAAAAAATAAATCCATAGCTTACATCCATTTGCAATCTCACTTTGGATACCTTCTGCTACTATTCAGGTCTGACCTTGTGTACTGGTCTGGGGAGGGGGTGGCTGGGATTGTGGGG